TCAAGGACAGGGGAGGAGTTGCCCGACTGCAGAGTCAAGGACAGGGGAGGAGTTGCCCGACTGCAGCTATTGAAGCTCAGTGTTGTGATGTCGTCATCCCCCTTTGCACTTAGTCTAGACATGCCGGATGCATCTGTGCTTGGGTCTGCTGGAGGAGGAATGGGGAGTCCTCCTTCAGAGACACAGGTACTCAGCGATTTGACAATCAAGACAGTGCAGGATATATCCATGGGACAAGGTGACGTGAGCGTTTTGCATCATCTACAGTCCCTAGCCAAGGCTCGTACAGAACAGAAACAGAACTCTACCATCCAACACAATGCCGAGATCATTAAGCAACAGGTGACAACCATCGACGAATTAAATCAGGAGATCAGCAGGTTGCTTCGCCAGAAGGCGAGCATGGGGAAGATGCCGAATGTGCCGGAGGCGGTGCCGGAGGAGATGACCTTGGGGAAGGCACCAGAGGGACCGCCAGCAGAGGCGATGCCGGAGATGCCACCGCCAGCTGTGCCGGAAGCGATGCCGGAGATGCCACCGTCCAAGAAAATGAGGACGCATGAGCCCAAGGAGGCCCATTCGTCTAAACCCAAGGAGGTGGTGTGCACGGGAGAAAACAAGGGAGATCTACTTCGCCGATGCATTACCGTACCTCAAGGCTCTGTTCACAGAGACGTCGGCTATGGGCAAGGACGAGTTTCTTGCCGAGATGGCACAACGCAAATTCACAACAAAAGTTTTCTCAGGTGGCATCACAAGCACAAGCATTCCGGATGACACGACCGAGGCCGAAGAGACGGACCCCGAGTAAGAGCTGTCCTGTACAGATTATAATCCGAGTGTGCTCCACGTGTGCGCTGCCCAACATCCCAGAGAGAGAGTGAAAAAAACCGCTCGTGTGGCTCCTTCATGATACTCAGATACCCATTCACTCCGAACTTGCAATGTTCACGCCATGGCAGGTATCAGACGATGAGGACCGGGTTGCTAGGGCCATCCTTCTCTTCAAAGACTCTGGCTGGTGTCATGATATGACTTTTGCGACTCTCGCACACTGTTGGCAGGATGTGGTGCTGGTGACAGGTGGCGAGACAGCAGCTCCCAGCGTCCAGGAGCCTGAAGAAGCAGCTGCACAGGACTCCGGACTCTGAGAGCCAATGTGCATTACTGCTCGTACTTGAAACTGCTAGGAGCCTGCGGAGCCTTCACTTCCTGCGTGGGTGAGAGAAGGCACGAAAGGGCCAGAAGAATGCTGTGTGGTTTGCTGGGAGATTTGCTTCAGTTTTCTCTACATCCAACGGCAGGCAAGCGTTGCAACTGGTTCTCGGCGTCGCTGAAGCGACTCCTGCCGGTCAGGATCACAAAGGTGGACCACGCCAAGCCTTAAGCTCAGAAAGCACAGCCCCCCCAAGGGCAGACACAAATTTGTGCTGGAAACAGTTTCCTCCGTGCCCAGCGTGTCCCTGTGGCTGGTTCAGGTCCGTGGTGATCGCTACCTTCGAATCGGATAGCGCAGTTTGGAAGAGTGTGGGTGTCTCAGCTCCGCGCACCTCTTCCAATTTTGGCTCGTTGTGCAGCTGCATCAGGTGCATTTTTTGCTGCTGGGACAACCGGACTGTCCTCTGAGAGGTCCTGAACCTGGTCAGGAACCTCTGCAGATGCAGACGCCTGGCAGTCTATGCTCTTTGAACCTACGGTGCGAGTGGAGAGCTCTGCAGCTTGGGCAGGAGAGCAGTGACGAGGACCCTGCCGAGCTGGTGCAGCTGGCTTTTCGCTTTTCACTTCTGGTATCTAAGTATCTGAGTCTCGCAGCACCACAGCACATCATACCTCGAAAGCGCCAACCCATCAACCTGCCTGGCCGGATTGTGACCGCCGACTCGACTCCCGTCAGGAAGAGGGCCACAGCCGACGAACCGGGCGGCGTTCGAGGACAGCTGTACTCGGTCCGGAAGATCTCGGCTTCGCTGCATGTCTCAGGACCCCGGATGTCTGGGAGCAAGAGCGGCGCCGCGTCATCGCAACACAGGCCGGTGCAGAGCTCTGCGATGCTGGTGTTGCGGGAGTCAACAACTCATTTCATTTCGAATGATAGGAGGCCGTTTTGGCGTGCAAGCCTCAGCCTTTCTTGCAGTTTGAAAACCGTTTTGGTGCAGTGGCTGCTGAAGGGCAGAGCGCCAAGAAGAAGAGCGACGCAAAAAGCAACAAGAGGAGGCAGCCATCCAGCTTGCCACACAGCGCGCTTTCGCAAGACCTTTGATCAGCAACGCCTTTCCCAACCGCCGAGTATCCACCAGGAGCAGCGGCGAAAAGCGGCCCAGGAGATCGAGCGTCAGAAGGCCGGCCGTCCTAGAAGTCAACTCTTTTTCTTTAGTGCGCTCTCTCTCTCTCTCTCTTTCTCTCCCTCTCTCTGCCCTCTGTATCTAGATCTCTCATTCCTGTCTCGCTACCGGCAGTGCAAACGTGACAGGTGCAGGCTGCCTTTGAGCAGAGGAAGAAGGAGGCGGAGGACGGGCTTTGCTGCGAAGTCGCTTTTCACTTCGCTGCAAAAGCTGCAAACATAGTTCTTCTGCTTGCTTCTCGCCTCGAGTTGGATTCATTAGAGGGATCCGCCAGATGCCCAGGTCCGGGGTTCTCTGAAGCCAGCTCAAAGTTTGATCCGTCGAGTTCTGAATCTTCAGAGGTGTAGGTGTTCATGAGGCTCCCTTCTCCTGGTCAGGAGCAACGTCTCAGGGAAGAGGAGGAGTGGCGTGCCAGGTGGGGTTCCAGGACAGAGGCCGAGGCCTTCTTTGTTTCCCTTTCCAAGGCTGGTGGAGAGGCGGAAGAAAGAAGCCGCTGAAGAGGCTGGGGCTGGGCCCCGTACGCTGCTTTTGCGACATGTCATTTTCTTCCCTTCCAGCTTTGACTGCTTGATGCACCTGGAATGCACCGTCCAGCCGATGTTGGATGCCAGGAGGAGCGACTTCGCCGCGAAGAGGAGGAGCTTTTGTGACTCCAACTATTCCTGCAAGTTCAGGGCTTGAGATGTGAAGCTTCGGTCTCCACCAGACGGTGAGAACAGTCGTCGCAGGTGCTCCCTTCTGGTTTGGTTTGCTAGCAGGAGGATTCTAGGTGCGTAGGTTTCGGCTACCGCACAGGCACGGAGCTTGAGTCCACAAACTCGTGCCGCAGGAGCGACAGGAGAGAAAGAGGAAAAGTGGGCAGCCCAAGAAGGTTCCAAAACGCTCGTGGGGCTTTGGTCCTCCTGCATTGGAGTCTCGAGCATCTCCGCGGCAGTCTGTATGTCTGCGACGCTGAGGGAAAGAAGAAAAAGATCGCGAGAAGGAGAAGGAGAAGGAACGAGAGAAGGCCAGCTGCATGTTATCCCAACCTTGCGAGAGGATGCCTGCATGCTGCACATGCAGGAACGGAGAAGTAAGCAAGAGGCAGAGGAGGACGTTTGCTTCTGCAAAAACACAAGCCGACCTGTCGATCGCAAGCAGGGTCAGCCACCGCTACCGCCACTTTCAAGTACTGGGTCCCCGGAATTCGGGTCTGGGTTTGGCTGAGGTGTAGTTGCGAAGTTAGGCTGAGGGTGCGAGGGCCATGGATGCAATCGTCGGCAGAGGCAAACAGGAAGTAGAGCTGTCAAGGACCGGGAGAGAAAGCGGCAAGCTTCCATGGACGCCTTCGAGCAGGTCTGATCTGCGCACGGTAGGCTCTTCGTGGACTAGTCAAAGCCGTAAACCCCACATAGGTTGTAGGTTTTGATTTGAGGGCAAGGGATGGAAGCTAGGTTTGCATGTTGCAGGTGTGCAAGAGGTCCGATCCGATGAAGCCAGGAAGGAGAAGACAGGAAGATGTCCGGTCCCCAACATCCGAAGTGTAGGTAACATTGCTACGTACGGCCCCATCAGGATGATGATGACGATGATGGCTCTCCGAAGCCAAATGCAGGACAGTGGTGGGGAGCACAGAGATGCTGCTCGCATTTTAACGTTTGCAAGCAGTTGCTTCTTCGAAGGTTAAAACGGCGTATCTAGTCGAGCACAGCAGAAGTCTGCGGAGAGATCTGCCATGGCAAAGTCGTAGGAGCATCTCCGTTCATACACAGAGTCCGTGAGTTTTTTGAAACAGTCATCTCACCTGCTGCAAAGTTGCGGAGTCCTATATCGCATCAGAGCAGAGGCAAAGACTGGCATTATGTGTTTCTCCGAAGCAAGCAGGGGCGATGTTGCTCGAAGCCAGACCTCCCAAAGCACGCTAGATCATCGTTCATGACTTGATTACTTGATTGCTGAGGCCAGGTATGGGTATGCTTCGCCGGCAAGTTTTGTCAAGCTGCTGGCTGTGCTGCTGAGTTCTTTCTTTGCAGGTCTGTTGGTTTCCGTGCAGGTTTAACCCCATGATGGCCATGATGGCTGCAGCCGCTGGGAACGGCGGAGGTTGGATAATGGCAGCAGAGAAAAAGAGGGTGATGTATTGTACGTGTTACTACGATGCCAGGCTTCGCGATGAACCAGTCGATGGGGATGTCCAAGGGCGCAGGGAAAGGCCTTCCCTGCTGAGTGCACGGCAAGAAAGGAAGTTTTGCTGAGCGTTCGCCCTGCGCTAGGCAAGGCTTCTCACCCGAAAGGCTACGACCACCCGACCGCGAAGGGCCAGGGATGGGGCCCCGGAAGCCCGCCACCGAGCTGAGGGGGCTTGCACAGGTAGCGAAGAGAGAGTCCGAAACTTGTTCGAAGTGATTGCTAAATATTCGGAATTTCTGCGGGTCTCTGATCAAGTTTGTTGAAACAGTGTTGCACCATCCAGCGGATGTTCGAACGCCGGGCACGGGACATGTTTAAGTTTAGGCATGTTTCAGCATTCGCGTAAACAGTCCCGCCCATGCCCACAGCCTGAAGCCAGCCCCAGCGCTGCGATCACTGTCAGCAGTTTTAGCAAGGCTTGCCAGAGGGGTGCCTGGGGTGAAAACACTTAGGGTTGAAACTTTAAACTCGAAATGTTTAATCGGTTTCTGGAGACCCGCACTCCGAGCCTGTTTCTTGTCAGCTTCAAGCGAGATTGGGTCGACTATAAGATATTATCTCAAAGACTCCAGGGTAGGCTGCTTGCTTGCATGTGCGGACCCTAAGAAGCATCAACAATGCCTGCTTTCGGATTTCACGCTCACTTCTGCAGCCGAATCTTCGTGTATGTATGTATGTATGTATGTATGTATGTATGTATGTATGTATGTATATGTATGTATGCATGTATGTATGTATGTATGTATGTATGTATGTATGTATGTATGTGTCTCTATGTATGCACGCGCCTGCATGTAGGTGTCTGTCTGTCTGTCTGTCTGTCTGTCTGTCTGTCTGTCTGTCTGTCTGTCTGTCTGTCTGTCTGTGTTGTCTGTCGGTCTGTCGGTCGGTCGGTCGGTCTGTCGGTCTGTCGGTCTGTGGCGGTCGGTCGGGCGGGCTGTCTGTCTGTCCGTCTGTCTGTCTGTCTGTATGTATGTCTGTAAGTACGTATCCATGCCCGTGTATATATTCATGTGTTCTTGTTTGTCTTTCTGCCCGTGTGGATGGGAGGGTGCTGCACACGGAGCACGCGTCATTCGCTCGTTTGTGCCGTGTTTCGTTCTGCCCTGGTGATCCTGCCATCTGAGGTGGTGCTGGCGGCTACAGTTCCGGCGGTGGGAACTACGGAGCCTGCGGGGGTGGCTACGGCGATCACAGCGAGTACAGTCATGGCCAGGGTGATGGCTACACAGGTGCAAGTAGCCGGGGCAGCAACGCAGGTGGAAAGGGTGGGGCGGCTTATGCTGGTTGTGGCGGTGGCTATGGCGACGTGGGCGGCGGCTGTGGCAGTGGCTTGGCGCTCAGCTTGACAAAAGATTGAGCTACCCGTTTGCTGCGAGTGCAGCTGCAACTCGATGCCGGCTGTGAATCGGTTGCGAAACACTCAGCATCACTTCCCGTGTAGTCTTGCAGCTCACCTACTGTAGCCCATCCGGGCGTTTAGAAGCATTGGACGGATGGTGCCACAGTCTGCCTCGACCTGTGGCACTGCATGAAATCGGTGACTTCGGCTGCGATACACCGTCTGCAGCACCCAATTCCGGCGCAGTGGCTGGTGGGTAGTGAGCGCATCTGCCCCGCCTCCATGCCAGCGCAGTTGCATCTGGCAGAAGGTTTCCCAGCCAGCCAATGCAACGCAGGGTCTGTCTCTGAGGAGCTTGCACATCTGCATCCTTCCCAGGTCCTGCCGAAGACCGTGCGCCTCCGCCCTGGCGCAGTGCAGCAGCTGCGCGGCCACCCCCGCCGCCCACCAGCCGAGGCCTGGAACGCAGAGGCTGAGGCGTAGGGGTCGGGCTGACACTGGAGGCCCTGGAGGTCCTGGAGGCCCGGGAGGCTGTGGCTTCGGCAGTGAGGCGCACACAAAGGGTGGCCACTTGTTTCCGAATACCGCTGGAACCAAGGGAAGTGGCTTTCTCTTTGGAAACAAGGGCGCAGGATGTGCAGGCTTCGGCGGCAAAGGTTGGTGATTTCCGCCTGGTTTGAACATGTTTGCCATCCCGAGTAGGAGTGGATCCAAAGGCTTGCCCGGAAGAAACATAGATCAATAAAAGTCAAAGTCATCACGAGTTGTAAAAAAGTTATACGAGTATATCGGTCGTTGAACTATCAAGCCTCTGGATGCAAGCAGCAGAAACAAAAACGAACGATATTCCCTCTGCGCTTATGCAGACAAAGGCTTCAACAGCGTTCAGCAGCATGTCGTGCTGATCCGGTTGAGCATGCACTGACTTGAGGATGCGTGCGCAGTTGCTCTTCAGCATTCTTCAGCCATGCTTAGAACCGGTGGTGGAGTGGTGCAACAAGGACACACCAAGTTCTTGCTCCACAGAACCAGGGGCTGCTTTTCGCACAAGGCGGTGGGATCGAATCTCGACGGAGCTTCACCTAGGACATGCAAGGAATGATCCGGGTGCATAGGGTTACGTATGGGCGATGGCGAGCCTACGCTTCTTTTGCCAGACGAGGCCAGGGGGGAACGTACCCTTGATGTCTCAGCTGCCCGGCAGAAGGATTGTCCTGCCACCCAGCTGGATGAGGAGGACGAGACTAATGACATAGGACAAGGTGGGAGTGGTGCTGAGTCGGCTGTCGCAGATGGCATGCAAGGTTTGAGAGTGTCTCAGGTGACTATGGCAAGACTGTTGCGAAGGCTGCAGATTTTCCTTCACCTCCAGCAACGCCACAGCCGAGGCCCTGCGCTTCTCGCTTTTCGCCTCCATCCCCACAGCGACTGCCACAGCAATATTGAGGAAGCGCAAGGGGCCGCCATCGACAGGCAGAATTCCTGCAGGGATCATTTCGCGTTTCAGAATTTCTAATTAGAATGTAGTATGTCTCAAGCGCCTCTGTCGTCCGACGTGCTTTTGCAGCATTCAATCCAGGCCTGCCCGATACTCCGGACAAGGCTTGCAGACGATCGCCGAGGTGAGGGGAAAAGAGGCGGACATGGATCCTGGGATTCGGTGCGAGTTGCTGGGCACCAAGGCTGCGGGAGCTGCAGAAGCTGCAGGCGCAGCAGCCAGAAGTGCCTGCGCCGGCGCCGCGGAGGCACCAGGTCGGGCACAGCAATTCGATGTCTGCAACTTCTTTACGGCCAAAGTGTGGCCAGAAATTGAGACTCCAGAGGCTTCAACGGGCGGCCCGATCGTCGCAGAACCACCCCTTCGGCCGGTGATCGCCCTGAGCGGAGTAGAGATCGAGGCGAGGTGGCTGCCTTTCGCATCATATGCGGCGACATCTGGGTCAGGCCAATTTGCTGAATGCGGCCCGCAGACTTGTGGAGTCTCTTGGAGGAGAGATCACGAACACATGGACGATGCAGGCTCGCGATGGTTGAGACTTAAGGAGTGACGGAGCTCTGCCTCGTGTGCAGGCCACACATTTGGTAGCCTGCCGCTTGCGCCGGACGTTCAAAGTCATGCCACCCGTCCAGGCTAAACGCATGCCCGAACAAGCATTACATGGGTCTACTTGCGAGGTGCGCTCTATGTCGCGGTGTGCCGATTGCCATTGCCCTGGTGCTCGTATCATGCTGCTACGTGCTGTGAAGCATTTATGCATCAGTTTGGCAGTTCATTTAGACCGATACACCGCAGGTCAGGCCTGCCTTCATCAAGCGCTGTGTGCAAGAAGCACGAGTGCCTGAGGCATCTTGGCAGCCTCGAGTCTTTACTCTGTGGGCAGGGAAGGATGCGACATGATATCCGAGGTGAGGAACCAGGACCTGCTCTGCCCTGCAGCCTTTTCTTCAGCGTTTTGCCGACTGTCAGCTGCCAGTTCCTTCTTCGGCTACCGACTGCGAGTTTGAAAATGCTCCGACATGCTGCCCAGGTCGTTTTTGCCCCCCCACCTCAGCAGCAAAGCCCTGCAGTCTACATCATCACTCGGACAGCTACTCCTCGTGATTGGCTCAGCGGCAGCTTTCTGTGCATCTTGATGCTCCTCAATGCAGGACCTACTGAGAGACATCATTGGCCAGCAGATCTTCGCAAAGCGCTTTCTGGGGCGCACCTCGCCTGTGAATCCTCGACTTGGTCTGGTGCACCTAATTGGGACTGTGGGAGGGCACTTGCTAGCAGTTGAGTGTCAGCAGCTGATGCAAGAGCTGGACCTCACGGACGTGCCTCGTTAGATGCTACCGTAGATCACGCTCATCTTCATGGCTTTCGATCTACGTAGATGGCAGTCAAGAGTACTTGTGAAGAAGCGCTGCTCTCTAGCTACGACCTGCCTCGAAAGCATCTGAGGCTCTCAAAGTTACTCTCTTGGAGACGTACTTCAACGGGCCCAAGACGGGCCTTTGCTGGCAAATTTCTGCGTCCATGTTCTGCCAGAGGTTTGTCGGCCCAGCGCATAAGCGTTATGATTTCCACAGGTGTCATCTTGGCATGTAGTGTCTTTTGTCGCACCATTCCGGGCTCCATTGTAGCTTTCTCTTCGACTCGCCCTGGCTTTGCAGGTGACCGCAATGGAGCGTCCGAAGCTGCGTGCGCTCGTGGAAGCCGCCGGCGGCCAATGGCGGGAGGCCTGCTGACGCGAGTTGGTGGTTCCCCAGTCTAGAGTCCTCATGGGCCGCCGCTCGCGTCGTCTGTGTTGTGCTGGCACACCAGTATGCTGCTTTGCTGCCGGCTCAAATTCAGCCTCTGTCACAGCCCGCGCTCACGCTGAAGGCGGAAGTAGGTCCCGCCTGGCTGCTGTTGCCATGAAGACCTGGCTATGGCCGTTGGCCCTTTGCTGGAATGTTCGTGGCACGGAGACTCCTCCAGCCAAGATGCTGCAAATGGGCCGCATCATGCAGTGTGTCTTCTGCCAGATTCTCGCGAGCGAGATTGACGTCGGCTACCGAGATGTCGCGGAGTCTGAGGCACGGCGACAGCTAAAGCAGCACTGCTCTGCCATCGCTCCTCGAATTGCTGCACTGTCGGGCGCGACGTCTCCGAAGGAATCCGAAGCTCGGCTGCCTAGTAAGCAGGTTGGCAGGCTCTTCTCGTACAAGGCCAGTCCTCAGAAGCATAATACCCGCCTAGACGCTGCCAAGTCTGTCCCTGTTTTGCACCATCTGCGAAGCATCTTCTCCGGACATTGTGGTGTCTGTGCTGTACTTGTGGCCATCTGCACAGGAGGCTTTCTGCGCGCGGATGGTGCGTGAGCATGGAGGAGACATGCTGGATGCAAAGTCGATGGGTGAGGACTTGAAGAGTTTCTGCGAGCAGGATGATTTTTGCAGGCCTGGCAGGGCGGCTGGGCAAGAAATTCAGTCACTGCTTTTGTTCGATTGCCACGGCCACCCGCCCTCCGCAATATACAACCCACCCGATAGTTCCCACAAATGTGGTGTCCACGTAAGGACGCTCAGGCAGATGCTCTGGTGGAAGGCCAGGGTTTGGAATGAGGTGTTTTGATTTTCACACTTTTCGACATGCGGGTGGATGTTGAATCCCAAATCTCCCAAGTCCAGGAATCTTGACGAACTTCCAACGCGAGGAGAATTGACGTGAGCCTGCGTTCCATTGCAAAGCGCAAAGAACTTGGTGTGGAAGACTACTGTGGCTTTCCGTGAACAGCAAAGTCTTGCAACTCAAGAGTTGAAAAGCGTGTGGGGAGGGCAAGATGCAGAGCTCCCGTTCTTTGACATCTACACCAAGACGTGCCATGCACCAGAATGGATTCCAATCTACAAGACTGCACCCGGAGAGCGAACTGCACCGTCCCTGGTGTCGCTGGGAAAGCAGGGGACGGCGTGGAAGACGAAGCTACCTCACGAGCATCCACAACGCCAGGGCTGACTGGAAACACTGAAGCCTTGACTGGCAAAACTGTGTTGGTGTTATCATGCGGTACAGCACATGGCAGAGTCGATGCTTTTTCATTGAAAAAAGCGTGCAGGATTCACAGCTTGTGACTATGATGAGAACGATGGCTGTCACTGTAGTTGCTTACATGCCAGAGTCAGAGTTGAGTATTACGTAGCCACTCCAAGCAGATGAATCTAGGTGCATTGCTGGCTGCGATCCAGCAAGCAGCATTCAACTCATCGCTTGGCTACATCCATGCGTCTCCGAGCGCACACACACACACACACATACATATACGCACAAGCAGCGCGCAGCGGGCGAAGTGCTATAACAGAGAAGACTGGACATGGCCGGTTCCTGAAAAGTTTGCGAGGGGAGTTTCGAGCAGGAGCTGCCAACAACGGCGGGCTCCACTGGCTCCTTGCTGGTTTTTGCCGATGCTTCGTCGCCCGCCGCCTCTGTGGCCCAGGTTGGGACGGTCGGGGAGTCACACTTGTCACAGACCCGACTTAACGGGTCAAGGCCGCTTCCAAAGCGGCTGGCGTCTACCAGTTGGAGGCGCTGCTTTCGGCTGCTTGCACCCAGGACCTACGGTTGCAGGCCGGGTGCATGGGACCGGACCGGTGTTTTCAAGCTTGCACGCGCATTCCCTGTCCTGAACGCAGGCGTTCCAGATGCCCGTGCGCCGACCATTTCGTGCAGCAAAAAAAGTGTATGTGGTGGGCTGGCTGAGGAGCTGAGGCTCTTGAGGGGATGCATTCGAACCGTCCAGCCGCCCGACCCGCCGATGTGTTCCAGAATCCAAAGCGGCAGAAGCTGCAAGAGCTCAAGAGCCCCACTCTTTGGCAGCGAAAGCAATTGACACGGAGCATTCTGCACAACCTTTGAAAGTGCACCCCAGGTTCTGGCCCTCCGGCCCTCCTTCCACCAAAACGTATGCAGTCCAAGGAAGGCATGTGTCAAAGAACGGGCTTCCTGTAATGCTCATGGCAAGCCCGGGTGGCCGGACTCGCTTCCGATCTACATGGCTGCTGGCCTGTGGTGGCCTGGGTGGCAGGTCCTTGGGTTTCAAAGTGGAAGTTAAGTTTGGCTCAGCTCTTTGGTCTAGACTCTAGAGCTTTGTCGACAGCCGCGCGACGGTCGAAACAGCTTCCCTCTGCATCCCGTCAGTCTGGCGTTTCTGCGTGGGCCAAGAGGAGTCGCCCTTCGAGAAGCTTGGACCTTGATCCCAGCGGGCCCTGTTCTTCGTGTGTGGTCTTGGGACCTCGGAGTCTTCGGGTTCTACTGGTAGAGGCTTCTTACGATATCAGGCTCAGCAGCAAAAGATGATCTGATCTCGAGGCAAGAGCACGCCAAGATGAAGCCCCTGTTCTTCAGCATTTTATCGCGGACTCTCCGCTTTTGCGAGGAACCAAAGTTGGGGGAGACGATGCGCCAACTGTCTTTCTGGTGGCCCCGCCATCAGAGCAGCTGACGAAATACGTGCTTGAAGATCCTGCAGGTCCTTTCAAGGGGACACTCGAGTGGCCGGAGAGGCTCTTCGATGACGTCGATGGCAAGAACGAGCCTGATGTAGCAGATCATGCTCCAGGTTCATGGAAGAAGTGGAGCTTTCAATTTTCGAAGCGGGAGCCATTTATGCTGAAGGCAGATTGGCACAGTGTGCACGGCTGGGGTGAGAAGTTCGACATCTTCGTCCCGCGCAAGAATGCTGTTGTGCCAGTGCGGCAAGCCCCTCCGCGTGTGCTGGCACTGATTGAGGCTTTCCGCAAAGTGAACACTGTCTGCTGGCAGCAGATCACTTCTGGTTTACAGGAGCTACAGGAGCAGAAGCCTGATGATATTCTCAGGCAGGACTTGCTCCTAGCATGTTCGACTCATCTGGTGTAATTACTGTGGGTCGGCACAGCAGAGGGTTTAGACATGTTTGGTGGGTGTACAGGTGTCGCCTGCTCAAGATGCTGATAGAGGAGTTCCAGGAACGTGGCTTCTTTGGAGCAATTGAAGCACAGGCTGCTGCATGTTGACAGTTGCTCATCTTGATAATGCACAGCGAGACATGATGCATAACTGTGCGTTTTACCTTATGGATTTTGTGTGATGAACACCCATACTTGTAGCACCAGCCGTGCTTTTGGAGGTAAAATGCTTGGCATCGAGATGCGACAGCGGGTAGTCGGGACACAAGATCGGGACCCCAAAGCACGACGGGCTCAGGACATGGAGACACATTCACGCGGGATAGCCAGGACCAAGACACTAGAGGACTCCGGAACCGCAGTATACAAAGGCACCAGAGCACCGTGAGAAAGGATAACGGGAACACAGGGACCTGCGACGGTCGCTGGGACGCAGGCCGGTGGGTACACAGGAAAACACGGAAACACAGGAACCTTGCTTCAGTACTTGAGACACTCGGCGAGATGCCGACCCTTTCTGGGGAAAGCATTAATGAAGAATACGTACATGTATAGATGGATAGCTATATTGGTGCATAGATGGGCAAATCTTATGCGTTGAAACATAGACACCCACCCTACGACCACGAACACTACAGCTCCAGGCAGGCCCAGCCCGGCGGAAGGAGATGCACTGGCATCGGGATGGCGCTACGGGGCTCCTTCATCTGGGGTGACTGGGCTGTAACTTGCCGGTTTACGGCTTCGGAGGTAGATGGAGCTCTCTAGCACAGAGGGTGAGTACTCAGGATTACTTTGAGTGGGCGCCGCCGACTGCAGCTCAGAGCTCGGCCCGCGGGGGTGGAGAAATTCAGGGAGGGCTTCTCAATTAGCAATAACAGGCCAGGGCGGCCAGGGCGGCCAGGGGCTACAAAGGCGGCACTGGGTGTAGTTCTGGACAGAGTTGCCATTTTGCAGGAGCGAAGATGATTCCTGGACACAAGAGTTGTGGATGGATGCAGGCATCTCGCACCGGAGATTCACCCATAGTTCCCTTCAAGGGTCGAGCACATCTGACGTTCATTCCGATATGCAATAATCTATAGATTCCGCCCACGGGGCTATGTATGCACCCTTCGTAGTGAAGCGGAAGTTTGAAGTTCCCCCGCTGGCCAAAATCGGGGCGACCGAAAGCTCCAGTCCCTTTGGCATACTGCTAGGCTTTCGCACTAATTGGAAGTCAATGCTAGGGCGAGAGCTTTGACGCCTCCACTTGCAGCATGCACTCGTCTAGCAGCTACTGGTAGCCGTGTCTTCGTTGTGTCAAGGTCATGTCTATCTTTCCTCTCCGTTCCTCTTTGAGCACAGCATCACTTATGCCGCGGAAAGCAGCGACAGTGGTCCCACGCTGGCACTGATGTGTCGCTTCGGCTTCCTGGATGAGGAGGATGCGCTGTGGGTGAACCATTTCCGTGGCCGGGACATGCTTGAAGTCGTTGAGCTCATCAGCGGCTGCCTGCGCAATGCCACCGACGCCGGAGAACTCCGAATGCCAACCCTATCGGAGGTGCGCGCCGTGGAGAGAGAGCTCGCCACGTGACGGGACTGGTAGGCAAGCAGGCTCGACGCAAAACGGTGGCACGTGACGTTGTCGTGGCATTGTTCTGTTGACAGCTAGACATGAATCAGTGCCTTCCCGTGCCTCTGCGTCCGTGCTGCTTTCTGCAACATCAACCTGGTCAGTCACGGAGCATGACATCATAACAATCTACGAATCTACAGCCTCTTGGAACCGCAGCCGCAGCTGGTGTAATCCGAGTAAGCTTCCAGTCTACATTCAACATCCCTCAGCTCAGACGTTGTGCATCAGACTGCTTTCCTGCCTTTGGTCCTTGGCCCTGTGTCAGCCATGGCGGATATGGTGGATATAGCCGAGCTGAAGAAGCTCGTGATCATGGGGCTGAACTGTGCCATGCTGGCAGGGACCGGCATAAGGGAGTTTTCGATGACTTTACATTGTGCCTGCCGTCCTGTCACGAATGACCAGAGGAGCTGTCTCATGAAGCTTCCACAGATCAACAACATCTTGAAGGTGAGGAGTTGCACGCAGTTATGCAGGGATATGAGACCATGGTACCCTGACAGGCAGGCAGCGTTGTGGGTCTGTCAGAGGCCTTTGTCATAAACGACTGCATCGCTGGCTTGCTGTTTGTTGCTTGTTTGCAGATGACGTGGAGACGGGTTGTCGGTACAAGCGCTGGTGACCGATCTTAAGGTGTACTACAATGTGCTGTCTGGTCACCCCTTCATGAGTTGGGGGGAGAACGTGATAGTTGGCATCCAAAATGCCATTGCCAGGGCCTTGCACCCTCAGCTCACCATTCATGTTCCGATGCAGCGAATGCCCAGATCATCTTTATGTACTGGCACTACTCGCCGGAACTGCCCAAAGCGCCGGTGGCTCTGACGTCGGCTAGCCAACATGGAAAGCTTCTAGAGGATACACCTGTGAAGCCAGCCGTTCAAAGCAGCAAAGCTGGCAAAAGCCAGCCCTTCCTCCCTGCTGTTGTTGATTTTCCCAAGGCCGCGATTCCTTGGTGCCGCGACCTTCGTGGCCTGCAGTGCTGTTGTGCTTCTGTTTGGTGCTGCCCTTGGAGAGTCGACAGGGAGTCGGGTCGCCGAGTCGGGACGTCGAGGCGTCGAGGCGTCGAGGCGTAGCTGAAGGAATTCCACCCCCGAGGCCTGCCCGAGACAGCAGTTTCAGCGCTTGGCATGGCACCGATCGTCCTTGGCCGGTTGCCGAGTTCGAGGTTGTTTCAGCAGGCGGAACAGATTCCCTGATCGCTGAGCCTCTTGGCACGAAGGCAATGGCTCAAAAGTGCCACAAATCTGGAAGAACATGGTCCAGAAGCACACGGGGACCATGGCTGTGGTGCTTTGTCCTCGGAGACTTTCTTCACAGCCTTCGGGCCGTGCTGCGATGTGCCAAGGCCTGCTCTTATGGGGCTGGCGGGGTGCTCCGTCCGGGACCGGATCTCAGCTTGTCAACTCCAGGCACCAGAAAGCTGTGCTGTTTTAAGCGAAGGTCCTGACATATGCGCTGCAGACGAAGGCAAGCCGTCACCTGGCTTTATGCTAGAAAACAGTCTGGATTTGGCAGTCTGCCTGGCAGGACGTGGTAGCAATCCTGAACCCCTTGGCGGCGGCTACGCTGTGGTTCGTCCTCCTGCTGCAGCGGATGCCTCAAGCATGTGTGTGCCTGTTCCTAGAGGACACGGGTCTTTTTCCACGACGCATGTCAAAGCGTATATCCTTGTGAAGGTTTGTTCTCTACTGGAAGACAACGAAAGAGGTGCAGAAAGAGGTCGACCGCTTGCGGTGTCCAACAAGTCTCTTGTTACTGGAATCACCGGTGTGATAGCAGGCGCAAGCGAAGCACAAAGAGGCAGGACAGAAAAAAACCTCGCCGGGCGGCCCAGCACACCCTGAAATATTAAAAAATGCTTGTCTTTTTCGACGGCAGGTGATGAGGTCGCCTGGTCCGATGATTCGACCAGGGCAGGGGCTGTAGACACCTCTTTGCACCTCTGGTCGCGCCACCGACATGTGGGCTTGGAAAGATCAAGCGCCGTATAGTTAGTGCAGTTAGTATCTGAAATCCAGTGCCGCGGCACAGAGGTGTCGAGAGTTTGAACAGCTTTGCTCTCATCGCGAGCTCAGAAAGGATGTGTCGGGAGTAGAGGTTGCTGCCTCATTAGAGCTGCAGGCTGCTGGGTTAGTGATCTTGCTGCTGTGTGATCTTGCGCTTGGAAAGCCCGGCTAGGCTCAAGGTACAGTTTTGAAGAGTTTCAACACGTAGCCGGTCATGTCTCTCACTCCTGTCCGACACCAAGTATGTCGATGCGGTTGACATTGGTTCCTGCCGCATCTCCGCATCTTTCGGGTCAGGATGTCCTTTGGGCACAACGCCCGGATGCCGTCTACTTGACCATAGACTTGAAAGAAGTTCAGGACATAAAGGCAGGGTTCCTCCAGAGCGTATGGACCGACGGAGCGCGAAGTCGAAGCCAGGTGAACTTAGATGCTGACAAGATGTCCTTCTATGGCAAGGCGGCTGTGTGTTCAGCTTGTGTTTTGTTTGTTACGTCGAGCCGGCTCCTGAATGTAATCAGGTGGGCGGCAGCCTCTATGAGTTTTCACTGGACTTCTTTGCACAGCTCCTGGAATCTCTGTCCACGAGACCACTTCGTGGATTTCGTGCGCTTAGGCACCGATTGCAAAGGAGGAGTCCAAGTGGAGCACCAAGAGGTTGGACAACTGGGGGGTCGTTTGTAACTTCGAGTTCGTCATGCGGGAGGTTAATCGAGTTTTACCTCAAGAAGGAGACGGAGGGGAGTTGGACGAGCCTCAGCAAGGTGAAGAAGCTGCCATGGGTTAAGGCGGCCTGATCCGTCGACACTTCGGAGCAAGATCTTCAACGAACTTACAAAGCCGTTCATAGCAGTCCGAGGACCTCTGTACACTTGATGTAGCATCGAATCAGTCATGAAGTCTTGTCAGTGTTGTCAATGCCGATACACTTGGGTTGCCGTCTTTGTGGCGCAGCAGGTGGATTGGAAGAGATGGCAAGACTCAGACGACGAGGACGAGGGGAAGCAGAACGCATGGAACCTGGACGGCCTCCCTGGCATTCTTCCAGAGCGATCATGATCGATCTTTTGCTTCGGATGACTCAGGCGGATTGGACGGGGTTGACAGTGGGGATATTGGCATTGGAGCCTATGCGAATCCATTCTAAAGCACCGAATGCCTTGAAATCTTGCGCATATGGGGAAGAAGTAAACACGTGCTATCAGCTCTAGTCGCCAGGTCTGGGTGACATGAACTTCGGCGACATGGGTGCTGATGCAGAGTATGACTCTGACGATGAGGCAATTGAACCCGCTGCATGGGGCAGCGCTGTTGCATGAACTGGCATTTGCGTTGGTTTGAGAAACATGTGTCAGCCGTTGCTCAAGTCACGTGCCATTCTGCTGGCGTCTTCTAGTCAGCTGCATTGGCAGGAGTTGCCAGACCTGGACCCAGCGGAGGTAGCAAGTGCTTGAATCGAAGTCAGCTTTCCCTCGGGGTGGGAACATTGGGTTCAGGCGTGTGGACACTGCAGGAATTGCTTGGCTTGGTAGGGCTTCGGTTCAAGGGTCTGAGCTCATCGCCTTCAGCTAGAGAGAACCCTGTCGAGCAGGGACCATGGAAAACTCAAGATACCCGTAGTCGCACGAGAGCACACCCAGTCCAAGCACGAGTGCAAGCACTTGTGGAGCCAATACCAAACCATCGATGGTTCTGCAGCAGTCTTGTGCAAAAGGTTCCCTGAGATGAATCTTCGAATAAATGCTCCACTCCGAACTGTGCCCCTGTCGGTATGCTGGCGAATGCTGTCGACAGGTTCCTCTGGGCGCCGCAGGGGATGCACCTCAGCAGGACGGGCGGGGACTGCCGAGTGGGAGCAGAGTCCTCTAGGTTCCTTTTGCCATCTAGAGCCTCCTATGAACGTTCTTTTCGAAACAGGGGGCCACCGGCGGGGAGCCAAAGAAGGCACGAGACTGCAGAGTGCATGAACTCATAGAATGCACTGTGCCTGCGCCCGCCGGCACAAAGCAGCATCACTGAGTAGGAGACAGCACGAGTCATTTGCAGTTTGGCAGGTGGCAGAGACTGACACACTGGACTGAGCGCCGACCTTCCTGGGTTGCAGAAGCGTTACCAGGGGCCTGCAGCTCTGCAAGCCAAGCAAGGCTTGTGATAATGTAAACTCCTGGCACAAGTGCTGTCAGGACAACAGTGCATCTTCAGAGCAGAGGGAAATTCAGAGAGGAAGCCAAGCTCCGAAGGTTCGCTGACCGAATTGACTCTACCAGGCACAAACCGTTGCATTTGGACGAAAAAAGAGCCGCCAACTGACGCTGGTCTTGCTTTAAGTTCTCCTGCTTGAATGGTTCTCGGCCCAATCGATCGCGGGCAATGGACGGCGCATGACTCCGAAGCGCTTTGGCACGAACTGTAGATTCAAGGGCTCAGCAGCCATGTCTGGCTTCGACTACTCGAAGTGGGACCGACTCGAAATAAGTGATGATGAGACTACGCCGCGCCCCAAGATTTCAGTCGCAGGCCGTGGTGCTGCATATTAGTTAACGAGTTGGCTCACCGGCCGAAGAGCATTTCATGTTGTGGCAATCAGCTTCCTGGGGAGTGGAGCTAGGTTTTTGCTCGAAGCGTTTTCGCACATGTTGTGATTGCAAACTGGGTTCTCTCAAAACTTCACAGATGCCCGTCGAGATTTCCACAACTCTGTGACGTGTTTTGACCTCATTCTAGGAAGGAGGTTGCAGAGTCTTTACATGTTTTTGACCAGCAGCACAGTGGATGGAAAGAAGGGATGTTTGCAGGAAGGCGAGCGTGTGGCACTCAAGACGTTCAGCGCGGCGCACGTTCCTGTGATAATCCATATTTCTATACAGGAAGCCAAGCAGGACGGAAGGAAGGAAGAGAAGGAAGGAAAGCAGGCAGGCAGGCGGATAGCAAAACGAGGAAGGAAGTAAG